CATATTAAAATAACTATAAACATAAATAATCTATACCCACCATTTTTAAATATATTAGTAATATACATATAAGATAAATTGCAAGCCATAAGAGTGAATATAAAATTATACAATAAAAAAAAATATTGAAACAAAAGTAAACATGTAAAATTTGTTTATACATTCAAGGAAGCTGAAGACTTAATATTAATTTTAAAAATTACATTTACACTATAATTTTATAAAACTTTAACTTTTATATAAAGTATAAAAAATATATATGTAAATGATTTGTTTTTTTATTTTATTTTATTTATTTTTTTTTTAATACTGCACTCAGATACCAAATACAATAAATATACATATTATATCATTTATCCCAATTCTCGCCTTTGAGCATGCTTCAATGAATTTATTCATAGCCCAGCGCTCAGTCAGTATGTGAGTGAGAGTGGGAGAGGCAATGCGAGTGCGAGTGTGAGTGGGAGAGAGCTAAATATGTTGCTATCGTAATGCTCATAAATAACACATATTCCGTATGATATGTTATTATAGAATGGTTTATTTTTCTGCCGCGGCGCTCCTGTAAATAATTACGAGAACGTGATGTTAGTCGCGCTTTAGCCTAAGCGAATTAAGGCCCAAACGTTGCGTCAAATACGTGACGCCAATGCCAAATAAACATGTCCATCATCAAACACACACACACACACAAAGGCAGATGGCATAGATGATGCATGTGTGTGCACTCAATATAAAGCACTCAATAATTTGCTTTTTTAAATTGCCTGCTGGCCATAAAGCTGCATAGCATATGGAGTTCTGGCCTGGCCTAGCCTAGCCTGGCCTGGCTGGGCTTGCCTCGCAGATCCTGCCCAGACGATTAGTTCAATTTAACTGGCCGAGCAGAGGGGCGAGCGAGTGGCGGCGCTGCCATGTCATTCATTTGTCCACGCCCGACTACTTGCACAGCCGCATGTATAAATTTTCTAGCCAGGACATGCACATGGCTGGCACATTGTTCCAGCTGGCGCTCGAGCTGCTGCTCCTGGGCAGCTGGCGCACTATCTCTGACTACATAAATCACAGACTAATAAAGCCGCAAGACTCTAGTTGGCTCGGCGGCGAGAAAAGATGAAGAAAAAAACAAAAAACGAATGAGCTGAATACAGAAAAAAATGGCGACATGCGACATATGAAGTTTATTAAAATGGCGTGCAGGGGGCGGGGTGGCAAGGGGCGTGGGGCGGCATACTCTTACGCATAGTTCAGCGTCATATGGTCATAAATATTGTGACTCCCACACACACAGAGAGAGAGAGAGAGAGAGAGTGAGAGAGGTAGTGTAACACAAATCTCTTTTATGTGTGTATGTGTGTGTGTGTGTGCGTGTGTGTGAAGGCCTATTTTGGAATATTTAAATTTTGATTACAATGGCAAAACATTTGGGCAGAAGTTTTATGATAATTTTCATTGTTTGCTCAGTTGTTGTTGTTTTACAATTTCAGCCTGGGCCATGCAGCACTCAGCCTCTCTCTCTCTCTCTCTCTCTGTGTGTGTGTGTGTGTGTGTGTGTGGCTTGAAAGACGTACAATTACGGCCAATTAACATGTGTTTGTACAAGTGCAGAAATACAAACATAAATGCCACACGCAAGCAGACAAAGAGTGGACCAGCACACACACACCCACACACATGTTGCAAACAAATATAAAAACATACACACACACATACATATATATTTTATTGTGCCCTGGGCAGAGAGAAAAAATGAAAGAACGACAACAACAACAACAAGAAGAAGAGGAAAACAGCATCGACATCAACATCGGCTGCCATCCAGTTTCCGGATAAGGCCGCAATCCTTTGCACCCTCTCCTTCCCCGCTGTCAGCCGGCCTCCTGCTCGTCGACGTCGTCGGCATCGACGGCAGCGCCTAATGAGTGCCGGCATCAAAATTCATGACAACCAGCCGAAGCAGCCGAAGAGGAGGCCACACCTACAGCACGTGCCAGTCGTGCGGGGGCGGGGGACTGGGTGCTGGGGGCGTGCCACTCAGACAACATTCCTTCTGATGAAAACGGCACAAAAATGAAATATTTAACTAAATTAACAATCTTGTTTATTTATTCAAAATTTGCATAAACAATTTGGCCAAAAGATGAAAAACCAAAAGTCTATTTCGTCCTCGACAGCATATTTGCTCTTGCTGCTGCTGCTGCTTCTTCTTCTTCTTCTTGCTGCTACTCCACCTCCTGCTGCTGTTGCTCCTACTCCTGCTCCTGCTCCTGCTCCTGCTATCGCTTTTGTTTTTGTTTCTGTTTCTGTTTCGGTTGTTTTCTCGCCTTTGTTGATGTTGCCTGTTGGCCTTGACTGAATCCAGCTGGTTAGCTGCCAGCAGCGGCGTTGCTCCGCCTGCCCTGCTCCTGCTCGAGTTCTTTGGGTTTTTTGCTCAATTCAAAGTTGGTTTTTTTTTTTGTTTTTCTCTACTTCCTTTTGATTCAAATTCCAACTATTTGAAGCAGCTAGAAATCATTTTTATTTTTAGTTCAGATTTCAGTTGAAATATTCATATCTTAAGCACTCTTAGCCTCTCCTTTGTCCCGGGCCAAGTTAATAAACAACTCGTCTCCGGCACGTGAGTTGTCAATTTATCTATTTTAGCCCAGCTCAGCCCGACCCCTCCCCCAGGCACATCGCCTGCCCCGCGCAGCCGATATCGTATTACTCGTGCATTATATAGCGGTTTTTAGCTGAATTATGGCCTCTGCGTGCGGCAGCAGCGTTTGACAAATGCGTAGAAGCTGTTTAATATTTAAATTTAATTATTTTTGCGTGAGCCGCCAAGAAAGCAGCGCCAGGCGCCAGTCCTGCCCCGCCCCCGCTCTAAATGGCCCGCCATAAATTATGCTTATTAATAGATGAGCGCAGAGCTTGGCCCCAAAGCAGTGGATCAAAGTTGCGGGGGAGGCATAACAGAGGAAAGAGCGGCGGAATATG